CCGCCGCTGCGCTCGCCGCGTACGGCCTCACCAACCCGCAGGGCCCCGGCCAGCTCCCCGCCCACCCGGACGGTGTTGAGGGCGCCCCCTACGCTCCCGGCAAGGAGCTCGACCGCAACGTCGTCGTCGTCGACATGGGCGGCTCGTCCACCGATGTGGCGCTCGTCGCCGCCCGCGCCGGCCTCTACTCGACGCTCGCCTACCTGCACGACGCCACGGTGGGCGGCGCCACGCTCGACGCTGCGCTCGTCGCCTTCTTCGCCAAGGAGTTCACCAAGAAGACCAAGGTGACCATCGCCGACACCGACAAGCGCGCGTGGGCCAAGCTGCGCAACGAGTCCGAGTTCACAAAACGCGCGCTCTCGGCGTCCAACTCGGCCACGTGCTCGGTCGAGTCGCTTGCCGAGGGTATCGACTTCACCGGCACCGTGAACCGCATGCGCTTCGACATGCTTGCCGGCCCGGCGTTTGGCAAGGTCGTGGCGGCGGTGGAGAAGGTGCTGGCGCAGGCCAAGGTCGAGGCGTGCCAGGTGGACGAGGTGGTTCTGGCCGGCGGCAGCGCAAGGCTTTCGGGGCTCGCCGACAGGCTGGCGGGTCTGTTTGGCGATGCCGAGGAGGGCGGTGCGCACATCACCGCCTCCATCGATGCCGACCAGGTCATCGCTCGTGGCTGCGCCATCCAGGCGCAGGTCATCGCTGCCGCTCCCGAGGGCTCCAAGGAGGCCGCGTTCCTCACCGAGCTGCCCAAGGCTCCCGTCGACTCGCTCGCCGAGCTCAAGGTGCAGGCCACCTCGGCGCCCATCGGCCTTGTCCTCGCCGACGGCGCATTCGTCACGCTCGTGCCCAGCAACACTGCATACCCGCTGCGCCGCTCCTTCCGCCTGCCCGTCGCCAAGGGCGCCGAGTCGGTGGCTGTGACGCTCGACCAGGGCATCGACGACGTCAAGGTCGAGACCATCCAGCCGGACCCGGAGGACATTGACGAGGACGACGACGAGCCGCTCGAGCCCGAGACGCGCAAGACGGCCATCACCAAGCCGGCAGGCAAGGGTCTTGCGGCCTTCACCGTGACCACGCCCGCCAAGGGCGCCAAGTCCGTCCTGCTCACCCTCGAGGCGGCTGCACCGGGCAAGCTCTCGGTCTCGGCGCGCGAGGACGGCGCCTCCAGCTCGGTCGACCTTGAACTCTAGACTGTTTTCCTTCCTGCACACACTTTCGCTCTCGTAATACACTCTATGCAGCATCATTGAAGCGTGTGGATTGTCCAAAAAAGCGAAACCAGATCAAGAGAGACCGGAAAAGAATGGGGGATCTCAGGCGTGCAGAATGTGGTTCCACCAGCGCGAGCTTCCCTTGGGGTGCGAGGCGAGCGAGGCGGAGCGCGAGTGGGTGGGCGAGTCGGGTGGCGGGGTCGAGTGCTTCTTGCGCAGCTTGCGCAGTTTGTGTGCCGACAGCGAGAGCGCGATGGCGGGCGCAAAGTTGTCTTCGGGATCCGAGTGAAGGTGGATCGAGGCACAGGGGATGTCGACGCCATCGTACACGTGCGCGCCCGTTCGCAGACCCGTCCCCACCTTTGCCTTTGCTGGTTCCGCTTCCGACTCGATACGTGGCGCCTCGGCGACAGAGGAGGTGGCGTCAGAAAGATGCTCGAGGCTCGACAGGATCATGTGTCGCGTGGGGTCGAACTTCTTGGCGCCGGTACGTGGGGCGAGGGGCGTGAAACACGCCGTATCGTCCGACTCGGACAACGTGCGTGTTCGACGCGAGAGCTGGCTACGCAACGAGGCGCAAGAGCGTTCGGCACGCAGCTTGGACTCGTTGCCCGCCGAATGCCAGCGTTGGCGCTGCGCCCACACGCCTGCTTCCTGCACGGGTAGCGGAGGCAGCCGCGGTGCATCGTCAAACGAGACCGCGTGCCGAAGCGTACGCTGTGGCTTGGGCGATGCCAACGCTGGACTGTTGAGCACCTCCATGGCTGCCGACGATGGTGGTGTAGCAGCGGTATCACTGTGGTGTCGCATGCGTCGAGGTGGTGCCGCCACCAGCTGCACCGGTGTGCGCGGCGGCGGCTCCAGCGCGCCGAACGTACCGCGCCTTGGCTCGTGGCTGCCGACATCAAACGTGCTGTACGCGTACTCGCTCGGGTTGGGGCTGCACGGCAGACTGCTTGCAGTGCTGCAGGCGTCGTCATGTTCGAGCTGAGCGTGGGCCCGGAACGGATCGGGAAGCAAGAGCGTCGGCGGCTTGTGCGCGCGTGATCCTGCGAGGGATGCATCCGGCGCAAGGTCGAGCAGTGGATCGTGCACGGCAAAGGCCTGATCGAGCGTGTGTTGGTCGAGACGGCGGTGCTCGAGCGGGAGACGCTTGATGCGAATCTTGTTACCATCATGCTGGCTCTCGGCCTCTGCCTCGCGGTTGAAGGCCGCATCGAGCGTGTCGAGAGGATCATACGAGTCGCTTTGGCGGCGCTTGAAAGCAGGCGAGGGTGCCCAGTCGAAGCTGCGCTCTCCACGTGCAGCGTAGGGCAAGAAGTTGTCCACTCTGTTACTCGCCATAGCGACATCGCTGTCGCTCCGCTTCCTACGCCTGCGGTTGCGCATGCTGTCCGTCGAGTCGATGGCGACGTGGTTGAAGGTCACCACGAGTGGACTGAGCGATGCCGAGCCGGGTGCTGCCGAGTCGCGGCGTGCTGGACTGAGCGGGGTGAGGGGCGAGTTGAGCGTGAGGCAGGTAGCTGTGCTGCTCCGCCTGCGTGCATCTGCGGAGGAGGGGCTGGTGAGAGAGCCTGTTGCGAGCAGATGCTGCCACTCGTCCTTCTCGATCCAGTCAAAGTAGACGTGGCCGTCGGCCTCGCGCACGCGAAGACGCTGTTCGCGCTTCTGCACGGGAGTGGTTCCGAAGAAGCGGTCGATCTCCTCCTTGGTCTGGTAGCGAACGGGGCGAAAGTGACGCGCCTGCGCCGCGGTGGGCGAGTGTACAGTCATGGAGCGCGAGCGTGTATTCGTCGACATTGTCAAGGAAGCTGTGCAAAGGTGGAAAGACGGATCGAGCCAAGCGTGGGGCATTCCCGGGTGTAGGCTAGGTCTTTATAGCTGCAGCTGGCGCAGGGGCTATCGAAGGGTCTGATGAGCGCAGCCGGGTGGGTTTGCGGCAACACCGCAAGCGTGCACATCTGGGCAGCTCGGCTAGAGTCGCTCCGCCGTGTCGAGAGTGGTGGGATTGCATCTCCGCAGGGCCCGCAGGCCGAAGCTCGTCTGAGCTCAGGCGCAGCTGAGAACTTTCCCTTTCATCAGCTGCTTCCTTTCATCAACAGGCAGCACAGACCTCCAATGGGCAGGTCTGAAGGCACAAAGGAACAAAGGGCGCAGCCGGCAGAAGAAAGCGTGGCGAATCTGCAGGGTAAAAGTGGGCGTTGGTTTAGCTCCAAATTGAGTTCATGCGTGCCGTGCTGGACAAAGGGAATGCTGCGCCATGGCGCTTCCGTCTTATGCGCATCCGTCGGAGGCTTTCATCGGCCATCAAAGGGACTCTTGGCACACACCTTTGTCCGGACCATTTTGAGCGGAACAAGATGAGCCGATCAGCCATATGTTGGACGACGCATGATTCCGTGCATATGCAAGAGGACAAAGACATAGAACGAGCAAGAGAGAGGTGGCGCCGAATCAGTAGACGAGGTAGCCAATGTTGAGGAGCGGGAAGCCCGCCATGAGGCCGATCCAGAAGATCATGTTGCCGAGCGTTTCGTTGCGCTTGATGAAAGGGATCTGGCTGATGATGATGAGCGGCAGCTGCACCATCTGCGCCGCAAACAGATAGAATCGGATCTTGCCGCTGACGATGGCCATGACGAGCTCGTGCACGAGCGAGCTGAGCAGGAACGTCAAGAACATGGCCATGCTCTTGCTAACCCCCCACGCGGCGATGGTGCTGGCATACACGTGGCGCAGCAGGAAGCTGTGCACGGGCTTGTTCCACTTGCGGCTGAAGACGTCCATGCTCGTTGCATTCCACCAGTCCAGGTAGAACTCGCGATCGGCAAACCGCGTGAGCTCGGCAAACGCGTTGCAGATGCACTCGAACATGATGTAGAAGATGAGCAGGTAGTTGATCATCATCGGCACCGCGAGCTGCAGGAACGTGCGCAGGAACGGCGTCTCGGGCGTGGGGGTGAATGGCATGATCCAGTGCTCGGTGATGACGTAGATCACCAGGAACGTGCCAAACGTCGCCAGCGTCTTCTCGAGCACGTACAGCGGTCGGATCGTCTTGAGTCGCGGGTAGGAAAGCTCGTAGACGAGCGTAGGCACGAGCAAGTAGTCCCAGAAGTTGGCGTACGTCACGTTGGCCGGCCACATGACGGGATCTTGTCGGATCATCTCGGGCGACGGCTCGGACGACGGCCGAGACGACAGCAGATCCTCGCGCAGCACCTCAATCTCGCGCGCCAGATCCGAGATGAGCACGTCCGGATGCGAAGAGAGCGGATGCGGATCGCGAATCTGATGCGGCTCGGCGCCCGAAGCGGCTCGACTTGACGATCGGCGTCGGTTGAGCGACGAGTCGCCTTTGACCTCGTCGTCCTTGTCAGTGCCAGCCTTGCGCTCGGCGTTGGTCTTGTCGGTCATGTCCTTGTGCAGCTGAATGTGCTCTTCCCGGCTTAATTGCTTGTCTTTGCGGCCTGGCGGATCTGGCAGGGAGTCGGCTTGGTTGCGAGCTTGGCTGGATTCGTCCTTGACGGTGAGTTTGGGAAGTGGCTCCTCGGCTTTGGGCGCGGCGTTGAGTGCTTGTCCCAGGTGCAGCCGGCTGGAGCTGCTGCCTCGCTGCTTATCGAGTGCCGACCATTCTGCAAGAGAGAGCGCGGTGGCTTTCTCGGCATCCTTGTCGCCAAAGCCTGCGGCGTTGCGAGCGAGACGGACGGCTTTACCCCAGGCGGCGTGTAGTTGTTCGTCGCCTCGACCGGCTTCGGCACCCTCGACCTCGGCGACGCGCTCCTCGAGCATGGTTTCGATGCGGCGCATGCGGTGGTAGGTGTCGGCCATGTTGCCGTTGACGTTCATGTAGGAGTGGATCTTCATCATCATGGCGAGCGTGTGCAGCACGAAGAATCCGCTCTGCACCCACGGCCACTCGCGATAGCGCGCCCACTTGATGACGAGGCCGAGCAGCGTCGCCTGCCACAGGTGCTGGAAGGTGACCGCGGTGGGCCAGTAGCGGACCCAGCCGCGGCGACAAACGTTGGCGAAGGGCACGCAGATGAAGAGCGAGCCGATGAGCACGCCGTCCGAGATGGCGAGGATCCAGGCATCCCTGCTGAAGAGCGTGGCGAAGGTGAGGCTGAGCACCTGACCGGTGGAGGCGAAGGAGGTGTAGGAGGTGTTGAGCACGAAGAGCGCGAGGCAGACCCAGAAGAGGGTGAAGAAGCCGCGGAACTGGTCGCGCGAGGAGGTCTCGTTGAAGCGGTCAAAGTGGCTGTTGCGCGGCTTGAAGCTGACGACGGCTCGCATCTTTTTGCGTGAGCGTGTCGAGGCTGCGACGGGCTTGAGGTGAATGGCGCCATCCTTGCCGACTCGATGCGAGAGCGCCTTGGCGCCGATGTGCTTGAACTCGAACGTGGAGGATCCGGTGCCGTGCGAGTTGGAGATGGTGGTGGTGAGCGTCGAGGTGGCGACGGACGGCTCTGGTTCCGAGTCGGACGGTGTGGCTCCACCGTTGGTTGGTGTCGATGGCAGCTCAGACGAGGGCACCATTTCGGATGCGGGCGTGCTGACGGCGGATGAGATTGCGTCTTCCGGGGTGTCTGTAATGAGTTGGGCGATCTTGGGATGTTTGGCGACAAAGTCTTCCTCGACAGGAAGCGCACGAGCGCCGGAGGATGTCTTGTTGGTGGCCATGGCTGGGTATCCTTGTCCGACTCCAATATATTCAGCGGCGGGTGGGAAGGAGGTTGTTGCTGACTCGAGCGAGATTTGTTGCGTTCCGTGTGCTGACGCCGTATAGCCTGAACAGTCGCGAGAGGCGCGGCGGCAACAAGCCGAGTAGCCAAGGCAGTGTGAAGCGTGCTCGCAGGCGCAGGCAAGGTGTGTGTGGATGTAGAGAGCGTCGGTTGTGGTGGTCGAGCGAGATCCTTGATCGGAGGTGTGTACCGGTCGCTGGGAAAAAGCTTCCGGCGACGCCACTCTGAGCCCCTAGAGAGAGAGAGAGAG